AGAGGTTTTTACAGGAGTAGGAGTAACATTAAGAAAAAACATCTTACTTTGGAGTAGGACAAGGAGTAACCCCCAAATCACCACTACTCCCAGGCTGGGGAATAGGAGTAGCAGTAAGGAGTAAAGGAGCAAGAGGTTTTTACAGGAGTAGGAGTAAAATTAAGAAAAATATCTTAATCCAGAGTAGGACTGAGAGTAACCCCAAAATCACCACTACTACCCAGCCCTGGTAGAAGGAATGATTCCCCATCTCTGGAGCTGGTAGCAAAGAAAGTAGGTTTTCCCTGATCAGCTCCAGTTGAAGACAGTGGATGGTGTCCCAAGCCAACGTCCAAAACACACTACAGAAATAATGCCATGCCCAGCTCTTGTAAACTCAGGGATGTGGCTTCCTTGATTTAATCAATCTCTCTGTAGTGGGGACTTTCTCTTGTTCTAGTGCCTTCTATGGTCCAAAACACACTGCAGGAAATAATCCAGTTTCAGACTGCTTTAGCTGCTCTGGCTCAATGCTAGGGAATCCTGGGAATTGTAGTTTATTGTGACACCAGAGCTGTCTGACAGAGAAAGCTAAATGTCTCACAAAACTACCGTTCCCAGATGAATATTGCGATAACAGATGGAATTAGGTTACAAGGAACAAAAAGATGCAAATGGAAATCAGAAGAGTTAATACAAAAGAGGGGAGAAGGAAGGGAAAAATGAAATCTCATGAATACTGACTAGATATATGAGATATATCTTGGAAAATTCTGAATAACAGTAAGACTAGAGTAATATGTGAGAATAAGGTGTATTACGCAAGAGACAGGAGGAGTTATATAATGTAGACAATAATAGGATGAAGACATAATGCGAATTCAAACTGGATTATTTCTGCAGTGTATTTCGGACCCAACTTAAATGGATAAATGAGAAAACAAAAGTTATAATCATTATTTCCAACTTATGGTAACCCCAAGGAAAATCTATTGTAAGGTTTTCCTGGCAAGTTTCTTCAGAGGGGGATTTGCCATAGCCATCTTCTGAGGCTGAGAGAATGTGACTTGCCCAAGATCACCCAGTGGGTTTCCATGGCCAAGCCAGGATTTGAACCCAAGTCTCCAGATTCATAGTCCAGCGTTCAAACCACTATGCCACACTGGTTCATCATGGCAATAGGCTTGGTTAAAATTTGGCTGGATGCAATGCAGAGCTACAAAAAGATGCTGCCCATGAGGTGTTTTTTTTTGCAGGAGCTTTAAGATGTCTGTCCCAATCCAGCACTGGTTTTAGCCTGTACAAGTCCTCCCCCTCTCTCTCTTTTTTTTTTTTTAAAGAGGGTTTAGCTTACAATGTTTTCCTTACCTTAGTTTTCTTTCTCTCACAGTTCAGTTTACCAATGGCAAATTGAAGAGTTCTGAAAATATGACTTTCAACTTATACAGAAGCAAAAATGCCACAAACCCCAGAAAGAAGCAGAAAGTAACTTTGGTAAGTAGATTTCCAATCTGCAAGCTTGCTCTTTTGATTGATAGAGTGGTGAACCCTAAATGTATGTATGTATGTATGTATTTATTCTACTATTTCCCCCTGAAGCTTTTCCTTTGTTGTACTTGGAGAGGCTTATATAAAAGTCTGATAATTTTATCATTAGACTTTGAAGCTTTGTTACAGAGCAATCTGATACATATGTCCTCAGAGGTAAGATCCACCATGTTCGCTGGGATTTATTCTTATTCAGTGAATATAGGATTGTAGTTTGTTTTTAATAACTCAGGCTGCATCTACACTGCAGAAATGATCTAGTTTGACACCACTTTAACTGCCCTGGCTCAATGTGATGGAATTCTGGGAATTGTGGTTTTGTGAGACACTGAGCCTTCTCTATAGAGGGGTTCTGATGCAACTACAGATTACAAATCCCAAGATTCTATATCACTGAGCCATGGCAATTAAAGTGGTGTTTTATTTCTGCAGTGCAGATACAGCCTCCTCAAAGGCAGATTGAAATTTCATATATAAGGCTTTTCCTGTTATAGATTCCAGTGATGGGATCCTTTCAAACCTCTTCCTGATACTTCTTTGTTAAAAACTCAAGAATGCTGTCCAGCATGGGATCTGGAACCTTAACTGCATCTTTGTATTACTTAAAACAAAATCTAGATATGTGCTTATGCAGGCAGTATCCGTACCTGGAAAATGTGTTAAAAGAAATGGTATGTACATACATATTACCCCTGTTGTGTTATTTCTTTATTGTGATTGTAGCCTATATCTTAGATAACTGTATCAGTAACAAACCTGAAATGTGGTTTTAACATCTGCCTACTCATTTAATAGTTTAGTAAGAAGAGACAAGCTGAGTAGGTACATTTTCTCCTGTTATGATGTACAAACAGTGGGGCAAGTTGCACTCTCCAGATTTTAGCTTTTCAGTGTGACAACTTTGGTAAATTTCTGTATGGACATGCCAAATTGTATTTTACATTGATGAAGAGCCAGCATAGTGCAGTGGTTTGGGTTGGACTACAGCTCTGGAGACCAGGGTTTGAATCCCTGCCTGGCCATAGAAACCCACTGGGTGACCTTAGGCAAGTCACACTCTCAGCTCAGAGGATTGCAAAGGCCAGCTCTCTCTGAAAATAAAATCTTGGCAAGAAAACTCTGTGATAGGCTTGCCTTAGGGTTGGCATAAGTTGCAAATGACTTGAAGGCAAACCACCACCACAACAATACCTTGTTATTCATTCCTTTGTACACCACATATTGCTCAGCCAAAGCTAAAAGAGGTTCAAAATCTTCAGTTGTATATCTCTGCTGTCCTTAGTGTACAAGCCCACAAGATGTCAGCACAATTTTGAAAAAGCCACACTGCATGTTACAGGTGACAGGTATTAAAGCATTTTCAAGATGAAATATATTCCAAGTAAAAATAAGTTCTGAGTTTACCTACCAGCACACATGCAAATATAACATTGCAGATATAACATTGCACTGACGTCAGAGTGTACTTTAATCTTTACAAACATCACAAGTTTTTTATTCTAGTGTATAAGGGGTTATCGTAAAATTTTAATTATTACCTTTAAAAAAATTGGCAGAAAGCTTGTTTTGATTTGTAGTTGTTAACTTTTCTCTACATAGTCACCATCCAGATTTACACATTTTTCCCAGCGTTTCTTGATCCTCCGAATACCATTATTGTAGAAGTCTGCAGATTGAGCCTTAAACTACTCTTCCACTTCATGAATAATGTCATTTTTGTTGTCAAATCGGCAGCCCTACAACAGATTTTTCATTTCTGGGAACAAGAAAAAGTAACTTGATGAGGTCAGGAGAATAAGGCGGATGCTGAAAAATCTCAAAACCATATGCCCTTGCTTTGTTAACTGCAACTTGAGATGAGTGCTGGTGCATTGTCAGCTAGGAGATTAATGCCTCTTGAGAGCATACCATGGAGTT